GCATTCAGAGGATCAGCCTATGGCGTATTCTGCAGGCATATGGAATCCCTCTCTGTATAATCAACATAATCAAAAGCTTCTATTCTAACTTTACATGCAATGTTGATCACAGTGAGCTGTTTTGAAGTCAAAACAGGAGTATGTCGGGGTGTATCATGTCTGCAATCCTCTTCAGCATTGCCATCGACTGGGTAATGCAGTGTACAACAGAAGACATGCCAAGAGGCATCAGATGGACACCCTTCTTATCCTTTGAAGACCTGGACTTCACAGATCATCTCGCTCTCCTATCACATACCCAACACCATATACAAGAAAAAACAACCTGACTCAATACATTCAGCTAGCAAATCGGACTGAAAATCAACCGCAATAAGACAGATATCATGACCCTTAATATTGCCTCACCATCACCAGTATGGATAGAGGATCACATTCTCACCAGTGTAGAAACATTCACATACTTGGGCAGCACCATCAACCAGGATGGTGGAACAAGTCAGGACATCCGGAACAGAATCAGTAAAGCCAGGAACACCTTCAGGAGCTTAAATACAGTCTGGAAATCATCAAAATACAACACCAAAACCAAACTCAAGATTTATCAGAGCTGTGTTTATACTTTATAGTGCAGAATGCTGGAGAATGAGAAAGTATGACATGTCCAAACTGTCTTCATTCCACACAACCTGCCGCAGAAAAATCCTCCCTATCTTTTGGCCCAGAACAATCTCAGACCAAGACCTATTCACACAGTGCAGCCAAGAAGATATGAGCACTATCATTGCCAGGAGGCGTTGGAGATGGATTGGCCATGTGCTTCGGATGGAAACTGATTCCATCACCAGAGTAGCAATAAGCTGGACACCTGAAGGCAAGCAAAAACGACAACGCCTGAAAACAACATGGCAAAGAGCTGTGGAAGCTGAGCTGAAAAACCTGGAGCACAGCTGGGGAACCATTGAAAGACTTGCCAGAAACAGACAGGAGTGGAGGAGCTTCATCGCTGCCCCAAATGCCAGAGGATACTAACTAACTAACTAACTAATATAATTAATGCCAAAACAACATGGCTTTATAGAAATAGATCCTGCCAAACTATCTTTTTTATGAGGAGATGACAAGTTTGGTTGATAATAATAGTGTTGATGTAATTTAGTGTTGATGTAATTTACTTACACTTCTGTAAGGTGTTTGATTTGGAACCGCACCACATTTTGATTATAAAACTAGAATGATATCAAATTAACCTGGCACACATTAAATGGATTAAAATCTGGCTAAATGATTGATCTCAAAATGTAACGGTAAATGGGGAATCATCTTTGAGCAGGTGTGTTTCCAGTGGGGTCCGGCAGGGATTGCTTCTTAACCCTTTTAAACATCTTTATCAATGACCTGGAAGAAAACATAAAATCATCACAGCTAAAGTTTGCAGATGACACAAAAATTGGAGGAGTGGTGAATAATGGACAGGGTAGGTCACTGATTCATAGTGATCTGGATCACTTGGTAAACTGCGTGCAAGCAAACACTGCATTTTAATAAGGCTAAATGCAAATGTATCCATCTAGGAACAAAGAACTTAGGCCATACTTAGAGGCTGGGGGATTCTATCCCAGGAAGCAGTGATTCTGAAAAAGATTTGGGGGTCCCGGTGGATAATCCAGATGAACATGAGCTCCCAGTGCAATGCTGTGGCCAAAAGGGCTAATGCACAAACAGGGGAATCTCCAGTAGGAGTAGAGAGATTATTTTATCTTTGGGTTTGCTAACTGCTGCTGGAATATTGTGTCCAGTTCAGGTGTCCATGATTCAAGAAGAATGTTAAACTGAAGAGCCACAAGAATTATTAAAAGATTAGAAAAGGTGCTCAGTCTATTTAACTTAACAAAGAGAAGGTTAAGATGTGACTTGATTACAGTCTATAAGTAGCTACATGGGCAACAAATATTTAGCAATGGACTCTTCAGTCTAGCAGAGAAAGCTATAATTTGATTCAATGGCTGGAATTTGAAGCTAGACACATTCAGACAGGAAATAGGGCATACATTTTTAACAGTGAAAGTAATTGACCAATAGAACAATTTACTAAAGGTTGTGGTGGATTCTCTATCACTGGCAATTTTTAAATTGAGTTTGGATGTTTTTCTAAAATATCTGTTCTAGGAATTATTTTGGGGAAGTTCTATGGCCTGTATTATACAAGAAATTAGACTAGATTATTACAGTGGTCCCTTCTGGCCTGGAACCTATGAAGCTATAAATTCTTGATCTCTATTAGTTCATGTGGCAGTGAGTTCCACAGTCTAATTACATGTGGTGTGAAAATATATTTCCAATTATCAGTTTTGAATTTCCCACCTTTCATTTTAATTGTGTCCCCTTGTTCTTCTGTTATGAGAAGGGATAAAAGAAGCTCCCAATCTCCCTTCTCTAGGCTAATCATTTTTTCCTATCCCCATTGCCTTTCTTATGAAACAATCACAAACTTTTCAATCTTTCTTCATAGGAGAATTTTTCCAGGCCCTTGATCATTCTTGTTGCCCTTCTCTGAATGCCTTCTGGTTCTGCAATATCCTGTTGGAGATGGAGAGATCAGTGCTGCAGACAGTATCCAGATGAGGTAGCACTTTTGATTTCTATAGTGACATTATGATACTTTATGTATTATTCTCCATCCCGTTGCTTATGTCTCCTAACATTGTGTTTGCTTCTTCGATGACAGATGGATGTTGAGCCAAAGTCTCATTGAGCTTCTGCAATGACATCCAGGTCCTATTCCTGACATGATACAATTAGTATAGCAGCCTGTAAGGTGCATTAGTACTTCACATTTTCCGCTACGGTGGGCATTACTTTGCATTTATCGACACTGAAATTAATTTGCCATGGTGTTGCCCATTCCCCTAGCTTGTTAGGTCTCTTTGAAGTTCCTCACAGTTCTCTGTGATCCTGATTAATCTAAAGCAGTGGTTCCCAAACTTGTTCCGCCGCTTGTGCTGGAAGCGCCGGCCAGTACGTCCCTCGGCCCATGCCGCTTCCAGCAGCTCCCATTGGCCTGGAGCAGCGAACCACAGCCACTGGGAGCCACGATCAGCCGAACCTGCGGATGTGGCAGGTAAACAAACTGGCCCGGCCCGCCAGGGGCTTTCCCTTCACAAGCGGCGGAACAAGTTTGGGAACCACTGACCTAAAGAATTCTGTGTCATCTTCAGATTTTGCTGCCTCACTGCTCATGCCCCTTTCCAGCTCATTAATAAATATATTGAACAAGACAGGGGCCTAGTACAGAACATCAGGCCCTCACTGTTCACTTTTTGTCAGAATGAAAATTGGTCAGTTAGTTCTATTCTTTGTTTTGATCCACGACAATACTTTGCCTTTCATTGCATGACTAGCTAGCTTCTTTAGTTGCCTTTTGTGTAGGACCTTGTCAAAGGCCTTTGAAAGTTTAAATTGTCAACCAGTTCTCCTTTATCCACTACTTTACTGACAATTTCAAAGTTTTCTAATAGATTAGTGAGACATGATTTTCCTTAGCAGAAAGGATGCAGTGCTGCTTAGATCTTATATGTAGCATGATCTTACAATTTTATTATTCTGTGTTTGATCATAATTTCAACCAATTTACCAGGTACAAATGTAAGGCTTATTGGTCTGTAATTCTTCAGATTGCCTTTAGAACCTTTTATAAATGTTTCTAAATCTTGGTACAACACGAGTTACCCTCCAAGCTTCCATGCTGGAGTGCATGGCCTAACAGTGCCCAGCCCCAGCAAGCTAAAGGAACATGGGATTAAGTGGGTGGCTCCCCGCCAGCAGTCTGGGACATATTCAGCTGGGGAGATCAACTAGAGTTGTAACATAAGGCTGCCATACCGCTTTTGAATGTATTTATTTTTCCCCAGCCTGTCTTCTTCTGACACCTCATTCTCTGATAGTACCTCATCTTTATTACCAGGAAAGAGTGTGTTTGTAGTAGGAATCTCCCCAACTTCCTCCACAGGGAAGACTGATGCAAAGAAATCATGCTGCTTCTCACCAATGTCCTTATCTTCCTTAGTTGCTCCTTTTAACCCCTGGTGATCCAGCAGACACACTGTTTTTTTCGCAGGCTTCCTGCTTCTGACACACTTAAAGAATTTCTTGTAGTTTCTGTTTATTTTTTGCTCTTCAAAACCCATCTTAGCCTCCCTATTTCCTTGTACAAATATCCTGATGTTGTTTAGGCTCTTTTTCATTGGCTTAATGAGGGTTAGATTTCCACATCCTGGAGGATCTCCATTTGACTCAAATAACCTCTCCCGGTGTGTTTGTTTTCTTGTGGCCTGGGATTTGTCTTCTATTCTTTATGTGCCTCACAGAGACACAACACAGACAGTCCACTCAAAGCAAACACCCAGGGCAGCTGTTCCACAGCTCCATGGAACCCCATGATCAGACTGCTCGGTGTTTGCACAGCACCCTAGCATCTGTCACTTGGAGACCACATTTGGAGGGGTGGCTTGCGTTGTTTGTTTGTTGGGTGAATTAACATTCTCCTGTGAATTCTGGGTCTGAGGCCTGTTAGTTTAACCTGCATTGTACTCTCCTGTGGTTCACGAAGTGCAATGGGACTGCTCCTTGGGATCCACTGCAGTTAGTTTGGTTCTGTCTTTGTGCACTAGGTAGCTTATGAGGGGTGGGATCAAATCTGTGTGTCACTCATTGATCCTGGGAGAGTTTCTGCCTCCTCTAAGAGTTCAGAAGGGAACAGTGGGCTGAGCCAAGTGGCCAGGTGGGAAAGGTTTTCTGTCTGAAGACAAGCAAAGAGGATCATTGCCTTGCACTATAGCTAACAGGGAGCCACCCCCACCACACAGCTAGGTGCTCAGCTGGGCTCAGAGCTTTAACTATATGAATTAACCTGGGTCCTCTTGCTGCTCTGGCCCGCAGTCAACACTGTTTCCCTTCTGTATAATGGGCCAGCCCTCAGCTCTGAACGCCCCTGCCTGCAGAGATCTTCAGCTCTGGCTCAGGCCCATCTCCATCCCAACTGTTTCCCTGCTGTGCAATGTGCAGTTTGCAAACCCGGGGTTAAGTGAATTCCACAAAGACAGACGTTTTTCTGTGGAAAAATCTGGCCTGGCTCTAAGTGCGTGTGGAGCTGCCCTTGGAGACTGCTTGTACTTGGAGCATAAACAGATGCCATTTGGGATGGGAGTTCTGTTTATTTCATTTAGAGACTTCTTGGCTGCTCATCTCAGATCTAAACAAGCAGCAGAAGGGCATACACCAGACTGAGCAACAGCCCCGCAGCAGCTCCTCCTGCCAATTCCATGTGCTCCAGCCTGGAATGCAAACTAGCCACTGCAGCCACCCACCTGGGAGCGGAGATGCTTAGCTGCTTGGGGAGGCAGCCTTGGGGCTTCACCAGCCCACAGCCCAGCTCCTCCTTCTTCTCATTCTGGATGCAGCTGCTGGGAGCAGGCAGCTTGAGCTCACCTTGGGTGGTGGCATTTCCCCTCTCACCAAGGTGAGAGCCCCTTTCTGAGATCTAGGTGGCGACATCTCCAGCTCTGGAACAAAAATGGCTAATCCATGTTGGTTGCTGCCAGACACTTTCTTTGCTTCAAGCAGAAGCAAATGAGGCTCATTCTTGTCTCCAAATCAGGGATCTCAGCAGCAGGCCCAGGAGTTCTCCTGCAGCCATCGTACACCGATCCTGTCCCAGCTCCCCAGTGAGGGGCACTTGCATGGTAATATGATCCCTTTGCTCCCCTTGGTACCAGCCCCATCCTCAGTAAATGCTTCTCTTTTGCCTCAGGAATTCCCTTCTCCTGCTCCTGCTCTATCAGTGCCCCATCTCCAACACCACCCTTTGCCAGAGAAACACCTTCCCTTCTCCACAGCAACCCCATTCACCCGCTCCAGCCTCCCGGTAATGAGCTACCCCTCCATGAACCACTGCTCCTTCAGCCTCTTCCTCTTGGCAGAGACCCTGCCTCCTTGGCTTTAGCTACCACCCCATGTCCCCATTATTGCGAGTATCCCCCAGACACTAGGACATCACCCAGTGCCCCAGCCTGTGCCTCGCTCACAGCTCAGGAGGCATTCCTGTGTCCTGTTACATAAGGTGGAATAAGCCTCAGGCTCATCACACATGTAGATGGCAGGCGTGCAAGTGCTGGGACTTCCTCTCGCTGGGAGCATTAGCGCAAGCTCAGTGCAGTCTCAGAGACACTGTTATCCCAGGGAAGCCATAGCCAGGACAGCACCTCATTCCTATTACAACAGTATTTGAGTGGGTGGAAACTCCCTCACTCATTGCACTTTGGAGTGGCATTCTCGCTGGTGTGGTTAACCCACCCCCCTGGACCCCGACATAGCCATACCACCTGGCCCCGCCCCCACTGAGCCCCTAAACTGGGAGGAGTGGTAGATACACTGGAGGGTAGGGATAGGATACAGGGGGACCTAGATAAATTAGAGGATTGGGCCAAAAGAAACCTGATGAGGTTCAACAAGGACAAGTGCAGAGTCCTGCACTTAGGACGGAAGAATCCCATGCACTATTACAGACTAGGGACCGAATGGCTAGGAAGCAGTTCTGCAGAAAAGGACCTAGGGGTTACAGTGGATGAGAAGCTGGATATGAGTCAACAGTGTGCCCTTGTTGCCAAGAAGGCTAACAGCATTTTGGGCTGTATAAGTAGGGGCATTGCCAGCAGATCGAGGGATGTGATCATTCCCCTCTATTCGACATTGGTGAGGCCTCATCTGGAGTACTGTGTCCAGTTTTGGCCCCCACACTACAAGAAAGATGTGGAAAAATTGGAAAGAGTCCAGCGGAGGGCAACAAAAATGATTAGGGGGTTGGAGCACATGACTTATGAGGAGAGGCTGAGGGAACTGGGATTATTTAGTCTGCAGAAGAGAAGAATGAGGGGGGGATTTGATAGCTGCTTTCAACTACCTGAAAGGGGGTTCCAAAGAGGATGGATCTAGACTGTTCTCAGTGGTACCTGATGACAGAACAAGGAGTAATGGTCTCAAGTTGCAGTGGGGGAGGTTTAGGTTGGATATTAGGAAAAACTTTTTCACTAGGAGGGTGGTGAAGCACTGGAATGGGTTACCTAGGGAGGTGGTGGAATCTCCTTCCTTAGAGGTTTTTAAGGTCAGGCTTGACAAAGCCCTGGCTGGGATGATTTAGTTGGGAATTGGTCCTGCTTTGAGCAGGGGGTTGGACTAGATGACCTCCTGAGGTCCCTTCCAACCCTGATATTCTATGATTCTATACAGCCATACCACCTGGCCGCACCCCCACTGAGCCCCTATACAGCCATACCACCCGGCCCCACCCCCACTGAGCCCCTATACAGCCATTCCACCTGGCCCTGCCCCCACTGAGCCCCTACACAGCCATACCACCCAGCCCTGCCCCCATTGAGGCCCTACACAGCCATACCACCCGGCCCGACCCCCACTGAGCCCCTATACAGCCATACCACCCGGCCTGACCCCCACTGAGCCCCTATACAGCCGTTCCACCCGCCCCTGCCCCCACTGAGCCCCTACACAGCCATACCACCTAGCCACATGGGGTATGATGCTGGGAGATACTTTTATGACCCAGTCTATACTATTACATGACCAAGGATACTCTGATCTCATGGGACAGGTTGGACAGAGTTAGCCATTTGCATGTTGGTTGTCTGTCTCTTTGTGTTCACCTTTTTTGTCTTGTGAGCGTCTTGGGACAGGGAGTGTCCCAGTTTGTCTGTACCCCGCACAATGGTTCCCACTCCGCCTCGGAGCCGTTGGCACTACTGAAATATGAATCAATAATAATAGTATTCATGGACGTGGGCGGGGGCTGGAAGAACATGTGCCCCCCACACTCTGATGTGACCCAAGCAGATGGGCACTGGTAATAGCTGGCATTCTGGGAGTTCCACTCGTCCTCCTGCCTCAAGTAGAAGGAATCCCGTCTCCCCTGATCTTTTCAGCTCTTTATGCAAGTGCCAGCTGCTCACTCCACATGCCAGCTGCTCTGAAAGCGCTTTCTTTCTCACCTCAGCCAGTGCAGCTTGGCACATTGGAGACTCTTGAGCCCCTCCAAGTCCTTCAGGTTCAAATCAGCAATGGTCTGGGCACACCTGGGACCCAAGGACGCCTGGTGCCATATGGCTGAGCAGCAAATAATGAGGACTCCCTAGAGAAAGGCAGGCTGTGAAGGAAGATGTGGGAGAGAAGGAACATGTCCTGCACTGGGAGTGGCACAAAGAAAGAGTAGAAGATACTTCTCACCCCAAATCTGAAGAGACTAGAGCAAAATAGAACACGGGGCAGGTCCAGGCTTAGCAAATCTGCAATAGAAGCAACAGTTCCTATCGCTTCCAGCACAGTAACACCTAATTGCCATTGTTCTCCATCATATTCCCATCTCTCCAGATACCAGTGTGCATGTTTAACTCCTGGGCCCACTGCAGGGTCGGGTCTGTGGGTTTGCTACAAGTTTCATCTTCACAAAGACTCCAATTTGCATCATCTTGAGTTTCTTTGCTCTGGCAATGGCAGAGCCTCAGGAATTTGTCCTGGGGAGAGCAACAAAATTTCCAAGAGGCATAAACTGGTTGTGAAGTCTCTGTCCTGGCAAAGCTGAGATCATTGGAGTCATGGCTTTGAAAATGATTTTCACATCACTTCTTCCAGAGCTCTCTGAAAGCACTGTTCTTCCCTAATGTCCAAAGCCAAGCACAGCCACCCACGAGGGGAGGGTAATTAGACTTGCTTGAGGGGAGCTGGGGAACAGGGGAAGAAGGAGGCAACCCTAGAGGTTTCAGAGGCCAACGTGGCAAGCTGAAGCAAGAAGAGCCCAGTGCAAAAAAATTTCTCTGGAAACTGGTAACGGTAGTTTGACTGAGGTCTTTAATGTGACTAAAATATCAGTCAGTCATTCTGGGAGGGAAACATAGCAGTCTAAATACACAGCTCCCAGGAATGCTAATGTTGTGTTAAGCTAAATAGATCCTTGAATCTCTGGCCAGGCCTACACTACAGACCTATAGTGGCATAACCACATCACTCTGGGGTGTGAAAAATCCATCCCCCTGTGATGTAGTTACACCAACCTTGCCCCCCACATAGACAGCGCTATGTTGGCAGGAGAGCTTCTCCCATCATAGATTATCAGGGTTGGAAAGGACCTGAGGCGGTCATCTAGTCCAACCCCCTGTGCAAAGCAGGACCAATCCCCAACTAAATCCCTAAATGGCCCCCTCAAGGATTGAGCTCACAACCCAGGGTTTAGCAGGCCAATGCTCAAACTACTGAGCTATGCCTCCTCCCTCCACAAAACTGCCTCCTCTCTGGGAGGTGGAGTAACGACGCCGATGGAGAAGTTCTTACATCAGCATAGGAGCTTCTTCACTTAAGCACTACAGCAGCACAGCTTGCCAATGCAGTGTTTTGAATGTAGACCTGCCGTGGCACTCGAAGGCAGGTTTTCTAATCCTTTAATGATTCTCATGGCCCCTCTCCAATTTATCAACATCCTCCTTGAATTGTGGGCACCAGAACAGTACACAGGATTCCAGCAGCGGTGACACCAGTGCCAAATACAGAGGGAAAATCACCCCTCTAACCCTACGTGATATTCCCCATTACCCCTATGGCCACACCATCGTACTGGGAGCTCCTGGCCCCAGTGCAGTGAGGTGGCTAAGGAAGCAACTACAATCCAAGCAGAAGTAGGGGTGGTGTTATCACTATTGAATACTGCACTAGCAAGATCCTTACTAGATGCCGTGTCTAGTTCTTGTGCCCACACTTTTAAAAAAGCCGTTTAACTACAAAAATTATTCCAGGTCTGGAAAACAGACCTCACAGTGAGAGAATAAACAAACAAACTCAATCTATTTAATTTAACAAGGTCAAGGGATGACTTGCTCACAGACCATCCGGTACCTGGTGGATAAAAGTTTTCTGACAGTCTAGGGATCTTCAGTCTAACAAGATAACGGTGTAACAAGGTAAGCTGAGGTGAGACAAATTCAAATTAGAAATAAGGTGCAAGTTTTTAACAGTGAGTGTAATTAACCATTGGAACAACTCCCAAGGGCTATGCTGGATACTGTCTCACTTACAGTTTTATATCAGGGCTAGATGTCTTCTTCTAAAATCTATCCTCTAGCTCAGTGGTTTTCAACCTGTGCTCCGCAGACCCCTGCGGGTCCACAGACTATGTCTGAGATTTCCAAAGGGGTCTGCATCTCCATTTAAAATTTTTTACGGGTCCAAAAATGAAAAAAGGTTGAAAAACACTGGACTAGCTCATCCAGAAGTGAGGGGCTTGATACAGTAGAGCTCATTGGGGGGGGGAGTCTCAGGCCATTGGACTAGTTTATCATAATGGCCCCTCCTGCCTCTAAACTCTGTTCAGCTATGCACATCCAGGAACTGAACCCCCACCTGTTGCAGCGTAGGCCACTGCCTTAGCCACAAGGCCATTCTTCCCTTGCCTTGCAGGTCTCTCTGCTGCTATACAAGGTGGTCAGTGCTCATGTCAAGCCAAGGAGTCTGACACACTCTGCTTCATTCAGTCACTGAGTTCTCAACAATCAGCCTTGCGGAACACGAGTGGCTGCACAGAATGCCAGAACCTCTTAAAGGTACAGTTTCCCACACAATGTATGCCCCTCCCCCTCTGTTGCACCCTGCCAGTCTGCTCCATCTCTGCTGCCCTGTTCACACCACATCTGTTTAGGCTTTTCCATAGTGCTCTGACACATTTACTTCTAATAGGTCTAAAAATGAATGACAGTGCAAATCTCCCATTGAGTGTGTTTCCCTAGTCATCCTGGAGCGCAATTATTAGGGCTAGGATGACCAGATAGCAAATGTAAAAAATTGGGACAGGGGGTGTGGGGTAATAGGTGCCTATATAAGAAAAAGCCCCCAAAATTGGGACTGTCCCTATAAAATCAGGACATCTGGTCACCCTAATTAGGGTAGTGTTTTCATACCCAGTGTCAGGCCTTTAAAAAGAAGTCTAACAAAAACAGCCGGGTGCTTGGCTGATTAATCACTGGTGTTTTGATGAACTGAAATGACTGCTAGTTTCCTCTAAATAGACTAAAATGAGTATTGCCATTGCTTGCTGGTGATTGCACTCCCAAACCCACTCAGATGTTTCCTTAAAAGGAAAAGGAGACTGAGAACTTGTCTGGAATCTGAGCATTAGAAGCTAGTGGTTCCTCCCCAGTACAAACTGCCAGTCTTCTACTGCAAAGTTTGTTTGTCAGAGACAGATGTTTGCAGGGGTTATTAAACAGACATTGTTTGACGCTGGAGATTCACCTGTCGATCTGTGGCATTTAGCAGAAGATTGGCATGAAGGTGAAGTGCAGCACACTGCGTCAATGTTTTTAATAAAAGAACTAAGGGCTAAAGACCCACATTGCTTCTTCCTGAATCCTGGGGTGGGTCAGCTAATAGAATACAGTGCTATCTTACTGCTCCCTGTCTCTGTGCAGCGACTGCTCTACACTTAGGCCCAGATTCTAAAAGCTATTTTGGTGCCTAACACTCACTGAAATTAATGGCAGTATATCTTTGAGGATCTGGGTCTTAGGTCTGGTCTGCACTACACAGTTAGGTCATAGAATCATAGGGTTGGAAGGGACCTCAGGAGGTCATCTAGTCCAACCCCTGCTCAAAGCAGGACCTAATCCCCAACTAAATCATCCCAGCCAGGACTTTATCAAGCCTGACCTTAAAAACCTCTAAGGAAGGAGATTCCACCACCTCCCTAGGTAACCCATTCCAGTGCTTCACCACCCTCCTAGTAAAAAAGTTTTTCCTAATATCCAACCTAAACCTCCCCCACTGCAACTTGAGACCATTACTCCTTGTTCTGTCATCTGGTACTACTGAGAACAGTCTAGATCCATCCTCTTTGGAACCCCCTTTCAGGTAGTTGAACGCAGCTATCAAATCCCCCCTCATTCTTCTCTTCTGCAGACTAAACAATTCCAGTTCCCTCAGCCTCTCCTCATAAGTCATGTGCTCCAACCCCCTAATCATTTTTGTTGCCCTCCGCTGGACTCTTTCCAATTTTTCACATCCTTCTTGTAGTGTGGGGCCCAAAACTGGACACAGTACTCCAGATGCCAAATAGAGGGGAATGATCACGTCCCTCGATCTGCAGGCAATGCTCCTACTTATACAGCCCAAAATGCCATTAGCCTTCTTGGCAACAAGGGCACACTGTTGACTCATATCCAGCTTCTCGTTCACTGTAACCCCTAGATCCTATTCTGCAGAACTGCTTCCTAGCCACTCGGTCCCTAGTCTGTAGCAGTGCATGGGATTCTTCCGTCCTAGGTGCAGGACTCTGCAATTGTCCTTGTTGAACCTCATCAGATTTCTTTTGGCCCAATCCTCTAATTTGTCTAGGTCCCTCTGTATCCTATCCCTACCCTCCAGCGTATCTACCACGCCTCCCAGTTTAGTGTCATCTGCAAACTTGCTGAGGGTGCAATTCATCCCATCATCCAGATCATTAATAAAGATATTGAACAAAACCAGCCCCAGGACTGACTCCTGGGGCACTCCGCTTGATACCGGCTGCCAACTAGACATGGAGCCATTGATCACTACCCACTGAGCCTGACAATCTAGCCAGCTTTCTATCCACCTTATAGCTTATGTTGACCTACTTATGTCAGTGTACACACCACAGTCCTGTCCCGCCAATGTAAATGCCCTACTACAGCGACATAATAACTCCACCTCCACGAGAGGCGTAGGGCTTATGTCGGTGTCGTTAGAGTGACACAGTGTCTGTGTAGGCACTGCGTTACTTACATAGGCTTATGGCCTTCTTGTCAATTTCACGTCTCCATGCTGGAACCATGAAATTGAGAAGAAAACCTGGCAGCTAGAGTCCGGTTGCCCCCGGCTCCCCACTCCCACCCTGACTGCTGCCTGGAGGCTCCCTGAATAGCCTAAGTGGCTGCCCCTCCGATCTCAGCTGGGAAATGAGAGCCCCGGGAGGGAGCTGGGCTCCCGGCGGGGAGCTGCATGGAGCTGAGAGCCAGCAGTTGGTGGAAACGCTTCTGGTGAGCACGCGCACCGTCGACAGAAGGAGGGTAGCACGAACAGTAATTACTGCCGTGGCTGTAAGTTGACCTAACATAAGTCGACTTAGGACTGTAGTGTAGACATGCACATGTTGCATATGAAGGTTGCGAACCAGAGGCCCACTAGTGGTTCATTACTGTGTGTCAGCAACTCTTGTCAGACACACTCACCACACCTAACAAACGGTTATCGTGATCTATATCTAAAAGGTGTCACATAAGATATTACATACAAACTGGTAACACACTGGTCCCAAAAATCATTGCCTGGTGCACATATCAGGGGGAGGAAAAAGAGTTATAAATATGAGCTAGAATTATGTTCTTAAAATGAGTTTGGCAAGCAATGCCTAAGCCAGGCCTGTTGCAGACATAGGAACGTGGTTCCACCTGCCTAAATATGTACAGGGTGTGATCAAAGACAAAGAAGGCATCTTTACATGCAAGGTGAACAAAGCCATCAGGAGAGTGAGTGGGGAAAGAGGAATACTTAACAATCTCAATGGGGGATGGAGACTGCACCCTCAGGGAGCCTTCCTGCCTCTTGAAGCAGGGTCAATGAGCTTTGGGAAGACAGCATGGCATCCACACCCCAGCAAGAGAGAGAAGTTTGGTCTGGACTGACTTTTCAAAGAATCCATTTCAAGGTTTACTGGACTATGAAGGCAAGGGATCTGAACCTCAAGTGATAAGCAAGTGAAACAGCTGATTGTACACAATATGACTGTATGATAAAAGTGTACTGAGTGAGGTCTTTTCGGAAAGCCTGTGACACACTGGGGATTGATATCACTATGAAATGTCTGTTTTAAGACTATAGAAGGAATTATGGATACTCACGGAGATCATGTGTTACAGTCTGTGACCAAACACAAGGAGAAACAGACAGGAGAGAAGACAGCTATCGACCTGTCTCCAGTGTCAATTAGGCATCATGGAACCAACACAATGGAAGCCCTATTTACATATGAATCAGCAGCGGGATGGGAAGCCTACAGGAAGGGAAGAACAGCAGGAGGTCCTCCTGCCTCTTGGAACAGGGTCAATGAGCTTTGGGAAAAGCCATTCAGGTATCCATCACTAGGAGGGTTCCAGGGGCTGGAGCTACTGAAATCACAGAACATTGGGGAGCCTTCAATCAGGGGGGTTGAAGGCTCTAGGAACTGAGTTTAGGTGAGAAACCTGCTTAGGCAAAGACTAAGGCCTGGTCTACACTAGGAGATTATGTCGAATTTAGCGCTGTTACATCGAATTAACTCTGCACCCGTCCACACCACGAACCTATTTAGTTCGACATAGAGGTCTCTTAAATTCGACTTCTGTACTCCTCCCCAACGAGGGGAGTAGCGCTAAATTCGACATGGCCATGTCGAATTAGGCTAGGTGTGGATGGAAATCGA